TGGTCAGTGGCTCTTAATAACTATTATTATTATTATTATTATTATTATTATTATTATCATTATTATTATTATTATACAAAACTGTGTATATTGATCTTATCCTGGTAGATAACATAGAAGATTGATGACGTTTAAGATATTATGATCTTGTCAAAAAAATTCATGGTGTTAAAATTCACTAGGTTTTAATGGTAGCAGCAAATCATGACCCATGAGTATCCTGTAAATATGTAAAAAAATTCATTGACCATGAAAATTTTCCCTGAATTTTCATGGCCTCTCCATGGTATTTTCATGGCACATGAAAGTTAATTGCCAGTTAGTTTTCATGGGGTTCTTGGGAATATGCAAGCACCATGAAAATTCCTTTGTTTTGTTTTACGAATAGTTGAAATTATAACTCTTTACCGACATTTCGTAGTTCAGGCGAAGGCAAGTCTTGATATTAAATAAATTAAATGGGTCAGAAGTAAAGGACTAGAGTTTCAGTCATATTGATCAAAAAATCGCCTTTTTATCTATTGGGAGGTTGAGTTTAAACCCTTCTTGAAATCACGTATCGCCTCTGGAATTTTGTCATTAAAAGGTACCATTTAGTTGCAGAAGCCAAAGAAAAAAGAAAGAAATCGCCGATCCTAGTTGGGGTAAATGACGCATAACAATGAAAGCATTTGTTCCTATATTTTTTTAACGCTTCCCAAATTGATTTTAGACGGAGACTGATTCGGGAGGTATTTCGAATAATTTAGGAGGGTTCTCGCAAGTTTGACAAAGTTTGACTCCATATACATTCGAACCTGTATTACGCGGTAAAGGAATGGTGGGATGATAGCGTGACTGCTAAATACAGGTTCCACAGAGTGGGATAAATCGGAAAAAAAAGAAAAAAAACCGGCTTTTTATGTCATAGAAAATGACTTGCCTGATCTTCGTGCGTGATATCTGTCTGCAATGCTATGCGATGACTGGACATTTGAACCCAAAGTACTAAAGAACTCTAGAAATTAATTTTGAATATTGATGAGGTTGCCAAGAAAGTTTACTGTTTAGCTCGAACGACAGTAGTACAAAATAATTTTTTGGGTCGATCGACAAAGCCGCGAAAATGTTTGAACTCTAAATGATTATGAAGTTGCACAGATATTAAATTGTATGCCTCATGCAGGAAAAGGGCGAAATTTTGTGATTTGAGTGTCGATGAGGTCGCGCTAACCATACCAAAGGTGGTAGAAGATTTACCCTCTGTGTCGTTAGTTTGTTTTTTTTATTTGGAACGGTACAGGGTCACCGATCCGTTTTCCTGATCGGTGCGCCGGTAAAATTTATTTGATCTCGTTGCTCCTAGCAATGTCTATATTGCCTGTTGCAGCCTAAACTGAAAGCGAAAAAAACATACATTTCCTTCTAGGAACTTGCAGTGTTTGCCCCTTGGCGATCCAAGAAATCTCTGCGCAAACACAGGGATCCGATTACCCTCTACTCATCCATTTGATGGGTATGTCATGGGAACTTGTGGTTTGCGTGATGTCCAGATATTAGGGCCTTTAAGCAGTCAGTACGGCAACGCTACGGAAGACCTCGATTAAAAAATGAGTTTCTACTTTTAGTTAGAATTTCGAAATTGGCTTCATGTGTTTACCGTCTCATAGGGTGCCAGACCTCAAACTCGACATAACGCATAAAAGTAGCGTTGAGATCCAAATGTAAATTAAAATAATTTGCCGGTGCGGTTTCGCTTCGCAGACGACGCAAATTTTGGTGATTTCACGTTGTTGTTTTGTAAAAGACGGCTAAGAAATGTACAAAGTTTTAAAACGCACGTGCTGGGCTATTGTTCTGCCAATTAAATCTATTGTTTTTCCACGTTCTCGTTGCCGTAGCCGTCGTGGTTTGCTTAAAGTCCCTATATCCCGGAAA